AGAGAGAGAGAGAGGAGAGAGAGAGAGAGAGAGAGAGAGAGAGAGAGAGAGAGAGAAAACAAAAGATAGTTCCTTATATATCAATATCAACCAATAAATTCCATTACCAACACTGACTCGTCCACGAAAATTCGAGAGACAATATTACGAACCACGAACCACGAACCATACGAACCTCACAGCCACCTCGCGTTGTTCGAACAGGCCTCCTCATCAGTTCGAAATAGTCGAACAAGCTTCCGTTGCTTCTTTCAGACCCCATTAAGTACTTTGACGAAGTTAATGTACCTATAGCGGAGTCAGCTCAAACTTGATTAAAAGCGATCCGCTTCTGGCTAAGCGGACCTTTTCATAAACTGTCTTTAACCGGAGTTAATAGTGCGTTACATGAGCGTTACATGATTGTTAACCAGGTTGATATAAAGCGTGGGTTTAACAACCGATCCTTTGAATTGGCAGGTCGAGGGAGGTTTAAACAACTCGTTCTCTCAGCTAACAGGTCGTGTTTTGTACGTTTGGGGTAAACAAAGCTGCATATGCAGCTTACTATTAAAAGTTACGGCTCATATCCCCGTTTTCTATGCATCGGACTCGTTAGGTTTGGTGGGTGGTATGGGTTAATGCGTACGTTTCTGGGTAGGTTAGGAGGTCGGGTTTTTGACGGAGTGGCCAATGAAGAGCAAATGTCCTGATATAAGGACATATATCATATATCAAGAGCCCCCCCTATAGATCAAATACTGATTCCCCTCAGCATGCAACCCCAAAACAGTTGCCTATAGTGGCTCTAGGATTTCTGTTTACTTACCGTTAGGTGAACAGCTGCATCAGGTGAAAGGAAACGTGCCCAACCGTTTCTGTACCAACTGGGAATCAAACCCCGGGGATCTACGTTTTTATCTTGATCTTATCTTGAGATGATTTCGGGGCTTTAGTGTCCCCGCGGCCCGGTCCTCGACCAGGCCTCCACCCCCAAGAAGCAGCCCGTGACAGCTGACTAACACCTTGGTACCTATTTTACTGCTAGGTAACAGGGGCATAGGGTGAAAGAAACTTTGCCCATTGTTTCTCGCCGGCGCCTGGGATCGAACCCTGGACCACAGGATCACAAGTCCAGCGTGCTGTCCGCTCGGCCGACCGGTTCGGCCGAGCGAACCGGCCGAATGATAGTAATATTTTCTGGATAATTTATATTTTTTTTTCGCGAATATGTCTTTTTCTTGAGATTCCTCTTTGTTTTTTTGTATATTACTTTATCCAGTCATTCCTCCGTTGCCTGGGTCTCGAACCCAGACCAGACGTTCGCGAGGTGGGTGTGTTACCACTGCGCCATTGTTCAGCTTTCAATTTTGTTGTCTTAAAAATTCAGAGTTCTTAAATACTATTTTCTAGTCTTGAAAAGTAGTGTGCCTTTCAAACACTGATTCATAGCATCAACACTGATTCATAGCATCAACACTGATTCATAGCATCAACACTGATTCATAGCATCAACACTGATTCATAGCATGAATACTGATTCATAGCATCAACACTGATTTTCCTAAATAAAACTGTCTAGTTGATATCAGGTGAAACAAACCAATAAAATCCTCGAAAGGCGATTTTATTGGGTAATTCTAGATTTAGAAATCCTGTTTTTTCTAGAAAATTCTACATTGTATTAATACACAATAAGATCACAATAGCGTGATGTATCAATGAGAATATTAATACACTATATTGTATTAAATCTCACAAACTTTAAAAAATACACATTTTGAGATGCGATTAGTTTATTGAATTGGCGCTGAGATATTGAATTTAGTTTGTATAAATAATGAGGTATTTCGCGTTCTGTGTGACAGGTAGACTGATTTCTGCCAGAGTGGCTCATTCTCTCCCTCTCTCTCTCTCTCTCTCATTTGGGTTATTCTTCCCGTCATTCTTGTTCATTCTCGTCTCTCTCTTCTCTCCCTCATTCCTCCCTCTGTAACACCTCCGTCAACCCCCCCACCACTCCCCTCTCACCCCCCCCACTCCCCCTCATCCCCCCCCCACCCTCACACCCCAGTCAACCCCCCCCCCCCCCCCCCCCACCCCCCCCCCCACCCCAACCCACAACAGTTGCTTGGACACGAATGCTCCCCGTCCACTAACACGACCAACGGACTTATTTCCCTTCAAATACTTTACCAAACACCATATTCCAAGGCCGCCGAGAGTACTGTGATACTGTGAATCGCTAAAGTGTATTTTAGAACAGTGATTCTTAATACAAGTTGCCCCGTAATGAATGATTATCTTAAGATAACTGAAGTGTTTTATATATTACTAACCGGCACCTTAGCGCCAAGGCTATCAGATACGGCGTCTCTCTCTCACACCCGGCTGCACTGGACGTGTTCGTTGCTCTCTGTTCTGTATCTTGTGGTGTGGTTACAGTGCTGTAATACAGAGTGATAGGTATTATATACATATGTCTGTGAGATCATACTGTCGAATTTTGGGCTAACTGGATATTTTTGTGACAATTTGTTTACGAAAATTATATATATATATACAAGTTGGACCAGAGCTGTAGTTCAAGGCCAGGATGTGCAATTAGGTGAGTACAGTAGAGTGAATTTTGTTAGGGTTTGTGGTAAAATTTCTTTGTTGTTGAAATTAGAGGAGTTATTGATTTGTTAGTGTGTGTGTGTGTGTGTGTGTGTGTGTGTGTGTGTGTGTGTGTGTGTGTGTGTGTGTGTGTGTGTGTGTGTGTGTGTGTGTGTGTGTGTGTGTGTGTGTGTCATCAAGGCCACCTCAACATACTCAATAACATTGTTGCAACCACCGCTAGTACTCTACTAGTACTAGTACACTAGCACCACTAGTAATAGTAATAATAGTAGCACCACTAGTCTAGTATAGCTTACACCACTAGAACAACCAGCACTGCTAGTACCACTAGCAGAACTATAATGACTAACTCTTAATATCACCACTACTAAGTACAGCTAGTGTCACAGTCACCACTGGTAACTAGTATACCACTAGCACAGCTTAGCACCATCCCCCAAGACCACCACTACCACCATCTCTACCCGCAACACCACCACCCCCACCACCCTCACCCACCACCCACAGAACTTTCAACAAACCCACAAAAGCCAAGACATTAACTTATTAGTCAGTAGTAAAGAAAAACAATCCTCAGGAACAATGGGGTGGTGGTCTCCATTGACAAGCCGTCGGCTTCCTGTCCCAGCCGAGGCCACTGGAGATTGGTGCCCTCGGGAAAATTCCATATATCAGTGCTGTATATCCCAGCAACAGGCCAATCAACAGGTGGACACACACACACCAGTTTGATACTTAAAGAGGCGGGAGCCCAAGAGCCGGAGCTCAACTCCCGAGCAAGCACACCCAGGTGAGCGTTGGCTGAGTAGATTGCGTAGCGACTTGCTTTAACTAAACGAACTTTGGGGGGGTTCGACAAGCTCCGAGCCAAGCCATTACGTGCCTCGAACCATTTCCGCTACTGCTCACAGGAGAACCCTAATGAGCATAATTAACCAACTTAAAAAAGAGTTTAGGCTTATTAACCAATCACGAGGCGATTTTGTTTTTGTTTTCGTTCAATCGGAAATACGCAGACCAACGCGGATGAAAACAGAAAATTAGGCAATTCCCATATATCACCTGTTAAGAAAAAAAACCGAATCGATATAACACATTTTATCTACATGTAAAAACAAGCTCTCTCGTCCCTGGTCATTTCCCCCATCAATGGAGTCATCAATGGGTAATTGGATTGATGGCTTGGTCAGTCCGGCACAGGTCTTAATTATTGCCCCAAGGTACACTTTGAGGAGCTGGCAGGAATCCCACACACACACACACACACACACACACACACAGAGGCAGTGATGTGGTGGACGCTGACTCCATACACAGTTTCAAATGCAGATATGATAGAGCCCAGTAGGCTCAGGAACTTGTACATCAGTTCATTGACGGTTGAGAGACGGAACCAAAGAGCCAGAGCTCAACCTCCGCAAGCACAACTAGGTGAGTACACACACACACACACTGATAGAACTGGATTTCACCACACTTGCAAAAAGAAGGATTTAAGACAGACATGATCACAACATACAAGATTCTTACTGGAATTGACCAAGTACATATAAACAATACTCAAAATGAGGAACAGTAGAACAAGAGGAAATAATTGTAAACTTGTCACAGATATGTCAGAAGGAACTTATTATGAATTAGGAATTTAATATATTATTATTGGTATTATTAAAGACTAGGAACTTATTATGTTATTATTAAATATTAAGAATACATTGTTATTATGATATTATTAAATATTAGGAATATATTATGTTATTATGATATTATTCAATATTAGGAATTAATTATGTTTAAGAGGTTATAAAATAGTGGAATGAATTAGATAAGGAAATCAAAGCCAATTCAACGCACAGTTTTCGATGCAAATATGATCAGATGAGCGAAAAAAAAACACTGTATTGAACTCCTGACGGACGGAAACTGGGCTTAACAACAGATGTTGGACTCTACATGCACACGTATGTAAGTACACACACATACACACACACACACAGGTCTCAGGAATCTGTACACCTGTTGATTGACGGTTGAGGGGCGGGACCAAAGAGCCAGAGCTCAACCCCCGCAAACACAACTAGGTGAGTACACACACACACACATATACACAGGGCAATGAAGTATCTTACAGATGTTTACCGAAGTAAATAATTATCAAAAGAAGGCGCTCAGTCGGGCAGACTATGTAGCGATGCTTACAGATCCGTCTTACAGAGGACATTTGTTAAATTGTTGTAAAACAACTGTTTTATCCACTCCAGATATTTACTCCTACTCCATGTGAACACCTTTCTGAATGCACAACAACTTGTGAGAAAACTTTGAGACACATATGTTAATTTTTCGTTTTCTTGTATTTCAGAAAGTGGATCCATTAAGTGGAAACACTGTGTTGCTTCTAGCAATCTGCGGCCTACCTTGCAGCCGTCAATATTCTGATTATTTCTAGTTGGCACTGATCACAGTCATTGATCAATTGATCACTGAGGGGGAATTGATCACAGTTTCCACCTAGCTAGACTCCACCTTCAGAGAGCCACAGGTGTCCTTGGCTTTACCTTTACCGAACAAGAACTCAATTCAACTCACTTCCATCACAATGGCAGATGTGAAGGTAAGTTAATAATAATAATAATAAGATTTGATATTAAAAATTTACATAGGATTTGATGACAGTAATTAATGTATTTATATTGTTCGTAAAGTGACTAATCACTTGCAACATTTCATTCAATGTGTGGATCTATGTTGATTGCATTTACAGGTAATAGATAAGGCTAAGAGGCAGTTAAGTGCCAACTGGGTCTGGGTACATGAGCCAAAGTGCCACATGGGGGGGGGGGGGGGGGGTAGGTCCAATAAACTACCCCAATAGAGCCTATTTTAAAATATAAATATTAAAAAAATTACTTTTGGCAGGTCATTTCACATTAAAGGACCCTATTTTTTTTGTATGGCATTTTTGCTTAGATTCAGTCGTGTTCTTGCAATATTAAATATGTATTTGCTTATTTTTGCTGTGTTTATGTATTCTGTTGCAGGCCTCTAAGGTGTGTTTGTCGGGATTAATACCTTAACTTACCTTACTTTAACCTATTTAAGTTTGTCAGAATTATTAGTATTAATAGGTTAATTATTAGTATTTTTATTTTTTAGCATTAATAAAAATATTATTATTAGTATTATTAGATTATTAGTATAGTATTAATAGGTAAATACTTTAACATATTTTAGTTTGTTTTTAAATACTATTTAAATATTATTAAATATATATATTTAATATATATAAATATATATATATAAATTTAATATGTACATAAATATATATTAAATCATATAAATATTAAACACTATCACATAACTTATTTTGCTGCTCATTATTTAATATGTTGGTCAACTGCAAAGTCTCATGATATAATTTGTTTTCCTTTGCAGGTTGATCCGAGAGATTGCACAGTCTGCTTCAAGAGATATGATGACGATGGACACCGTCCGCGGGTGTTGACCAGCTGTGGTCATTCCTTCTGCTCAACCTGCATCACCGAAATGATCAAAGACAACAAACTCCAATGTCCAAATTGCCGTGCATCATGTGACGTGTCAACCGTTGATCAACTACCAGTCAACTTTGCTCTGCTTGACATTGTGTTGGGTGATTTTGTTTCACCCGAAGACTCGTCATCATCGGTTAGTGATACACAAGAGAAAATGTCTCCCAAAGTTAATGGTGGGCTTTGTGAAGATCATTGTCAGTACAAGTTGTTCCGCTGTACAACCTGTGACTTGTTTATCTGTCACCTGTGCACCATTACTGAGCACCCAAGTGCCTCCTGCAGCATTGTCTCCATTAAGCAAGCTATAGAGGAAATGAAAGCTGATGAGTTAAGTGTTGCTAATTCCGAGCTCACCAGCTGTGAAGAAGTGACACAGCATTTGGAAATCTACGAAGAACATTTGGATAAGCAACTCAAGAGTCATGAAGACCAAATAAGAAGGTTGAAAGCAAGTGTTGAACGCCACAATGATCTTATTAAGAAATTAGGAGAAGAGCGTTCTAGGGTGCAGGAAGCTCTAGAGGAGAGTAGCAAGATGCAGGACATGGTTAAGACCTCAGAGGATGATCTCTCTTCCATCACCAGCTTGCAGGAGGTTCAAGATGCAGTCATCCAGACCAAGAACTCTAACAAGACTGCCAAAACTTGGAGAATTCAGTGTGTCTCAGAGTTCCCTGATATAGAAACTCTCTCACTCTCACTCAAGGTCAGTATGTTATCCACAGTACTTATGACTTTTTATGGTCCTCGGGTGATAGTTTTCTATCTAGAACCACCTCTAGATCTCTTTCTTTATCATAATTCTTTAAAGATTTCTCATGTAATTTGTAGGTTGTGTGTTGTCTTATGTTTTCCTATTCCGCATTGCATAACATGGCATTTATTCACATTAAATCCCATTTGCCAAGTGGTACTCCATACTTATTTTGTCCAGGTCTTCTTGAAGATCATGACCATCTTCTAAGTTTATTATCTTCCCTAGTATCTTAGCATCATCAGTAAACATGTTCATTATAATTATGTATAACACGATTTTTTCCAATATTTTGACTATTACACTTGTCAATGATACAGGTCTATAATTGAGGGGGTCTTCCCTGCTGCCACTTTTGTAGAATGTTAGCCTTTTTCCACACATCTGCTACGACTCCTGTACACAGGGATGCCTGAAAAATCAGTTCAAGTGGAATGCTGAGCTCAGATGCACATTCTTTCAGAATCCATGGTGAAACTTCATCTGGGCCAATTGCTTTGTTCTTACTTAACTCCTTGAGCATTTTTTCCACTTTTTTCTAGACACCTCTATGTGCTCCATGTTGTTCTCTGGAATTCTTATTGTGTCTGG